TGAAATGCTAATGACATGACACATTTTGCAATGCTTCAGTTAAATGACATAAATGTATCGGACCAAGATGCAGATATTTAAATTTATTTGAAAATGACCAGCTTAGTACTAAATATCACATCATTAGGTTGACTAGTAATATAGTAAATGGAAACAGACTCCAACTGGTGAAACACGTAACTACTGCCGTGCAATGCGAAATTGTCGCGCGAGCGGAGATGGCTGTTCGATCGAAACCATGCCATTCCGCTCCGTCTCCAACTAATTTTCAAAATTGTATGCAAAATGTAACTGTCCAACATACGACAAAAAAAATAAAAAAAAATAAAAAAACAGTCCAGCGGCACGTGCTTGCCAGGCCGGCAGGCCAGGCACAAGCTAAACACAGAAGAAAAAAAAAAGAACCTGAGCTTATCGATGCAAGACTTTTCAAGTCATCGCGAGCCAGGGTCCAAAAATTCTTGGAGCGCTTTGTGCAAGGACTGAACTCGAGACAAATAAGCACGCTGTGCGGGTTCAGCATGCGGACATTGCCTACTTTGCTTTAGCTCACCTCTATTCACCAATATCTTTCGCGGCTGATTTTTCCCGTACCGGGGTACGTCTCGAAAGAAAGCTTACCGATAAAAACCTAGGCAATCAACACTTCGACACAGCAGTCTTTGAGCTAAAGAGGAATTTTTGTAGTAGCGCATTAAACGAGAACAGGATTGTTGATGAACATGCGGCAGTCCTTACGTTTCAGTTAGAAAGTGCCATAACTGGAGCGACGTGGGACGGCAACATCCGACGTCGCGCGACCATGGTGACTGGCAGGTAGGGACCAAATATAGTTTGGCCACGGCCGTTGCTTTCAGGAGCGAGCGCTTCAGCTCACAAAGTAACTCCCATGATGCAAAAACATGGTTTCGCTTCACAGCATGACGGCATGGCTGGTACCCAGCACGCTAGCGTCGGGGTGTCCACACACGCCCACGTCTATCATTGAATTTTTTTTTTTTTAAAGACACGAGACGAGAGACGGCGGGAAAAACCATGTAAGACCGAATGAACGATTGATGCAGGGTACTTTGTGTCGGACGGCTGCTTGCACCACCTAGCTTACGCATGCTCAATTACGGTACTCAGTTTAGTTTCGGTTTTCAAAAGCGACCAAAATTGGTCCTTTGGCGCAGGCTTGGCGCAGATTACCCATATTTTGTCAAAATGTAGCAGGATGTAGCAGGGTTAGCCCCTTGGCGCAGTTTGGCGCAATTGGCGCAGCAATCACATCACTGACAGAATTTCCCAACCACTCCGGAAAGCTTGGAAAACGTCTCCGTACAGACAAGAGAAGCTAACCAAATAAGGTGTGTGGTTCCAAAGAAAGCAGCAGCCTTGCAGGCAGTTCATGGGAGGCTGTGCTTCTAGTCTATACAAAATAGAGCTATCTTTCTTTCTGTGAAACTAGTTTTTCTCACTCAAGAACACCTTCGACCCGGGGTTTCGAGGTTCTCTCCGATTTTGATCAAACTGGCTGGGGGGGGGGGTTGATTTTCAAGGTTGATCGGCACTTACCAGGGCTGCAGGTACGTGAAATTTCAACTCGATTTTAATTAAACATTGCCAAACGTAGGTCACAAAATCGAATGTCAAATTGAATATGAATACCAAAAAGTTTATTTGCAATATTCACAAATAAAAAGAAGTTGCATAGATCAGAAAAACGCCCTTCGGGTTTATTCTTTTGCAAGGCATGCGGAACGAAGAAATAGCATGAATAAAAACGGAATTAATGAGCGCGCTTTAACGACGGACGAATGACAAACAATGAATGTGTCCACCCACTCCATGTGTTGATGCAAAGCGTGCTGGCTAAATGGTCGGATACGAGCGATTCATTTGAATCGGGTGACGTCTCGCGCCGCCAAGTCCTTGGCGTCATGGGAAGCAATGGGTTAGTAAAAGAGGGAGTTTTAGCTATTTATGTTAGGTATTTATAGTTCCATAATTTGTCGTATTATGGACGTAACAACCGGGAGTAGGTTTATAGTGCACAGGGCTGGCAACTGGTGACGCAAGATTTTCGTATTAAAAAAAAAAAGACAAATGGGGTTTTCGGGTAACCAATGAGCAAATCCAAAAAGCTTGGGGCATGACTGTTACTATCGAGAAACGCAAAAAACAAACTACTTTCCATCTAAATGGTTCATTAATCAAAGATGCCAGATGAAAGCTCGATTCAGATCCACCACAGAACTATTTCACCGCACGAAGAGCCTTCCTGAATAAACCTGCATTCTCGCTAACAGCGATATTATTCGATGAAGCGAGATACGTTAAAACACGACTATACTAGGAATCCGAAAGTTAAATTGAATTATTCGGACAATCATTATTCAATTTGAATTTGAATAGTCGCACAGCCTAGTATTTACAGACAACACAGGATCCTCTGTGTAAGTCTCAGAAATGAAACTAACAGACCTCTTGCAAAATCGAAGCGATCCTAGCTGCGTAGTGCCACGCAAAGCGTCCTGGGGACCCTTGAGCCCCGGTTGCGGTTTCTATTTGCCAAACTCGCTTCACGATATCTCGTCACAACCAAATACAATGCTCGCATTTTCAAATATGTGACTTTCCCTAAATTTATAATACTGTAGGTGTTACCCTACCAACACGAGTAAAATGCTGGAGCATTTTTTTACAGGGGGGGCGGGGCTCTCAACCCGCCAGAGTTGGTCCAAAGGTGAACGCAGGAAGAAGAAGAATGGTACTGAGCCGATCATCCCGATGTAAACGCAGGAAGAAGGTACTGGGCCGATCACCCCGTACCATCGTCTCTATCTTCTACTTCCTTAAACGATCTGCGACTCTGGAGCAGTGGCCAGGGCGCCAGAAAGGTGTGGAACGCGACCAGCCATACTCTCACTCCTCGCTAAGCCTAAGCAGGTCCTTCTGGGCGCTGGAAGTCTGTTTCCACGGGGGCTCTCGCGAAGATGAATGCGTGCAATGCAGGCGGGCACCGACTTTATATTCGTGCAGTGCCGAGATGCGCGACTTCGTTAGCGAGGAATTCGAAACCGAAACCGTGCCGCTCCTCTTTGTGACTAACCAGTCTCATAATGCAATGCGTATTGTTTGTTGAATGGAATTTTGGGAGGTAGTCTACTCCTTATTTTGTTGGAGCAAGAAGCAACATGGGGCTGTGCATGACCAGGTTATCAATCAAAGCAAATTACGCAGCTCCGGCATCATTTCAAGGTGACGATAAGCATTTCAATGGTTTCCGAGACAAGCCGCTTCGGACTAAGTACATGTTCCTGAATTTCTCTGCTAAACTATTAAGAGAAAAAGACATCTGAATTTACCGATAATGACAATTTGTGCGACAATGTTCATAGGAGATCATTTACCGATATAATTCTACAACCCTAGACTGGAAGGGTATGGCACAGTTTGAAATGCAGAAATAAGACGGAACACAAGTAAAGAGAATGAACTGAAAATGCCGCTACCTCCAAGGTTTTTTTCACTTAGGTCAGAAAACATAGTCATAGCTTCCCTTCAATGACTTCTCCTGGTCACGTTCTCGTGACAAACCCAAAACCTTAACAGTTATACTAGACACCTTCCTAACTCTTTCATGGTCATTTTCTCTTTCTTGTAAGAGTGGTTGGGTTTTGCTTCCAAAGGGGGGTGTAAATGAAGGGCCAATGCACAAATTTCCTTTTTCATTATCTAACAAGAGCATGTACAGTATTTGCAAGTTGCTCAGGTTTAGAAGCATCGAAAAGAAATTTTGAAAGCAAAAAGTTATCATCTTTCTTCAATTCGGTTTCGTTTTAGTGCATCCGCTTTGCAACATTCCAGCAGCTACAGATTCCAAATCTGAGATACTTTACAGAGCTTCTATTTGTGATGATGAGCTCTCATTCTCTAAATTTAATTCTGAGAAGGGTAAAAATCTTAATCGAAAGAGCCGGCACTCCGAATGCCACCACTGCCAAAGCAGCCGACACACAAAGCGGCCTTCTCGCACGTGTCACCTTCCCAACGTTGAAACTATACATAACCCCAAAAAAGTGAAAAACAGTGCAAAAATTATGTTTACAGTTTGTCAAGTACATAACAAATCGCAACACCTCCCCGGGAACAAACAGCTTTGTGTCAAAGCAGGAACTTTAAAATGTGCAGCCACCGCCGTACACATGCAGCGACGACTGTCAAGGGGCTAAAAGCGCACCTCATAAAACACTGTGCACATTTGTGAATAGAAAATTTGGCAAGCACCTCCTTACCTCAGTTCTGACCCCAACCACACAAAGATGTTCAAAGCAGACTCTGATTTTGCCAGTCACATTTTGTCATCAACATAGTCGTTTTCCTGCCGAATGTTCGTCATTCAAGCCGGAGAAACAGCTAACAGCAAAGAGAACGGCAGACAATTTCATCGCGAAAGCTTCAAAACAGCTAACGGCAGCCCCGGACCCTAAATAGGCTACGCCTAGAGTGCCGACACCCCGCTTCCCGACCGTCCCGTGGAAGCCGCCATCTTGTTGCCTATTGCGGAGCAGACGCAATAAGCCGTAGAGTCTGTTGCGGGTGCGGGACAAGCTCCTCCCACAAAACCCTCCACTTTTTCCCCTTCAGCAGAGTGAATGCCGGAAAGGAGGCGAGTGGAGAGAAAAAACTCGCCAATCACGACGAGCAGAGCACTTTGTGGGAAGGACTTGCGCTGCTATTCCAAACCTGCAACAGACCAAAGTTATGATAAAAAAATGTGACTCCCCGAGCTTTGGCTACGAAGCAGGGGAGCACGAGTAATGTCGCTTTGCTCCATCACAGACCGTCTTAAACTTTCTGCTATTTCGGAGAGAAATGGTTTTGGGCGATAAATGGGTGTCGCTACTCTGAAGTGTAGCCTATTCGGCGACCATGGCAAGAACAAATCCGCGAGCAATCCTGCTTTCACAGCAGTGGGGCGAGGGATGGACAATGTTCCAGTGAGAATGCAACCCTTGTGGTGACCCCCATTGGTGGACGTGAGAGAGGGCTCCGTTTAATGGCTCTTGAAACATTTCGAACAATGAGGCGCAAATGAAGAGAAAAGGCAACAGAAGGGTTGAGTGATGAAGGAAGGAACGCGATTCCAGATCGGCCCGCTCACATACTTCACGCCGTCTCCATTTCCATGTCGCCCACTGAAAAGACGGGAGAGGACGACACCGCTTATTTTCTGGGCCTCGTAAATGTATTTTTTAAAATTGAACTCGCATCCTAAAATGAAAAGGATTAGGGGGCATGCAAACACCCGAAATTTTGAATGTGAATGAATTTTTAATATTCAATTCATAGTCGATTTGAGAACTTCCTATTCGGCACTTGGCAAATATTCATCCTCACCTTGACGCGCCGCGCGCACACTTCTCTGCACTCACTAAATGCATAAATAATAAATAAAAAAAATTTCGATTTTTTTTTTTTTTTTTTTTTAAACTACCATAGTATTTCGAGAGATAGCCCACGTAAAATCAAGAGCAAATCGGGTGAAAACAGGGAGTGGGCTAACTTTCAATGTACAGCCAAGTTAAAAACAAAAACAAAAAAAAACCACTCAAAGCAAAAGAATGTGAAGGTGTGTTTACACTTCGTTCACTCAACCTCAAAACCTTTAAACGAGCAGTCGCTATCGCTCCCAAACAAAATTTCAATCGCTCCGTCAGATAGGTCTTGTGACCTTTCAAACTTGTTACCGCTGCAGGGGGGATGTAAACCAAAGACGACGGTTCTTCAGAGTCAGCATTTATCACCTGCTTAAGTGTCCTCGTTTCAACCGAGGTCACCATAGGCCCGGGCAGTGCAATTACTAAAAGTGGGCCGTCTTTCGGTGCTTTGAGAAAAAATACTGAATTGCGCCATAAGTAGGGGTGGGTCATCTTTCGGGGGTGGGACATATGTCGGGATGTTACGGTATACTATCTTAGCCCCAAAGATGTAACAGCTGCGCCTAATGTTGTCTAAATTGTTACCTGCTTTCATAATTATGCGCATACAGTGAAACCCGTTTAGAACGAACCCACGTAGAGGGAATTATTGTCGATATCGAACTCACAAAAAATTTAAATAAAAATGCAAGTAAAAAGTACTTTTTATAACGAACAATATATTGGTTATATCGAACTTTTTCCCCAGGGAAGTCTTCCAAAAACGCGCTAACGATCGTCTTCTGACCTGCCCCTTCCCCCTGCCCCTTCCCACAAAAAAGAACTAGGAAAGAAAGAAAATCCCGAAAGCTCAAGTGGCGAACAAAATTGAGCGAACAAAAGCTATTCAAAAGGAAAGAAGGCTAAAAAATACTCTGCAAGTACGCACAGAAAAAGCAAAAAATACATATTTTAATCCCAGAGCGTTCGCCCACGAAGCGAAGCGATTCAGAAAAGAAGATAAGCTAAAAAAAAAAAAAGCTGGATACATGCAAAAAAAAAAAAAAAAAAGCTTTACAGCGCGTTGTTACAAGGCGGAAGTGAAGAGATGAGAAAGAAAGAGAAGCTCTCGCCTTCCAACGAACGCATCCTGGAAGTTCGTTGTAAACGGTTCTTGCTATATCGAACTACTTGCTATATCGAACTGATCGTACCGTTTCCTGCTGTTCATTATAAACGGGTTTGACTGTATTTGAAGTCAAATTGTTGCATTATTTGCAGTTTTTTTGCATGTTTCACCCCCCATATGCTAATCAGAATGCTTCGTTGCACCATCAAATCTGCTACAGCACAATGACGGTTTCATCCATGAAAATGTCGACGAAACTGTCATTGCTTCAACAACCTCCGACCGACGCGTTTAGCGTCCTATTGCACCCGTGCATCGAAAGTGGCCCCAAAGTTGCCACAAATATTGTCGCGAAAGCCAGAGTGCTGCGCTGTCGGACGTCGCGATCCTGGCCGTCAGGTGTTCGAGTCTCGAAAAAAAACAACACTGCAAGCGAATGGGAGCGTCATCGTCATCGCGGCATCCCAACTCTCGGCCACCGAAGCCTCCGAAGGCCGTCGAGCTGCTCCCGCCGCCGCTGCTACGACACTGCCGGGATCACGGCCGGCGACAGCGCTACACTTTTACGACGTCGACGGGCAGAAATCGAGGCAGGGGTTTTTCGGACGCGACAAATGCGCGAGTCGGAGATGCGTTCCGGACGCCGTCCGGGGTGGAATGTCCGGACGGGCCGGCGAGCGACCCCTTGCTCACCCATCTCGTTGAACATGAACTCCTGCTGGTACTCCTTGAGGAACTGTGACGACCTAGACTCGTCCAGGAACAGGGAGTAGACGCGCTTCACGTCCTGTATGGAAACCTCCGTGCCCTGCGTCAAAAGACAGAACCCCGTCCATGCCGTTGCTGCCGGGCGACCCCACTAGACTTCGGAGAACTCCCATAAGACAGGTGTCTGAAAGGACGCATATAAAACGAGACCACCTTTCCCCAATAAAGTTTTTTTTTTACCTGACCGCTTACACTGCAAGTTGCATTAAAGGAACAATCTAAAATTAAAGTTTGTGACAAAAAAAGTTTTTTTACTTGCCTAATTTTTATATCAATATACAAATTTTTTTTCATTTTGCGGGCAAAACTGAAACGCTATTTCTGTGGGATGATGATGATGATAAAATTTGTATCCAACTAGTGTGTGCTCCGAGTTCACTAGACCTAAGAGTGCACACTATACTGCGTTTCACGATAACTTGGCAAACTGCGGAGGCTATGACCCCCGCGACCCAATAAGAGCGTCTGAGTGAGGCATGTGACACCACGTCACGGGACCGTTTGTGTCCCTGTGCAAAAGGCAAGGCCCGGAGGAACCGGCTGTTGTCTCCTGGCCAAGAGTCGTCTGCTGTGAAACCAACCAACTTTGGATGAATGTCCACTGCTGCATCATTGCCATCCGCTAGAGTAGCGAGCTCTTTGGGAACAGTTGATGAGACAGCCATATGCGCAATTTACCTCCGCGAATCTGCGGCGGGTGCTAACGCCAGGGTGACATTTTGAGCATACGCAGCCGATTACAGGGTCTGCAATCATTCAAACATCGTTCAAAAGCCACATTGTTCTCGAAATGAGATGATTCGAATTAAGGGGTGACACCACCTTCAAGTATTGATTTTTAAACCAATCGCTCAATGTTGATAAAATTTGGAGGGTCTATTCATCTCGTTGCCTCAATGCACTGTATGACATTTCATCTCCGTAGGACAATTTTCCGATAAGCTGCAGGGGGAGGTACACAGCTACTGATGTATGTCGCTTCACTTGGCAAGAAAATTTATCATATAAAATTGCTGCAGAATATTGAGCATTTCTAAGCTTCATCCTTAAAGGGACCATGAAATGATTTTAAAATCGAGTTTCATCCGCCGCACGTTGTAAAAGGTGTGAAAAAAAAACACGAATACACAAAAATAGGGAGCCAAAAAAAATTATTTGCAATAGAACTTTTAAAAGAAAACTAGACTCTTTTGCGCCTTCTTTCCTTCGCCTTTTCACTACGATGCATCCGCGGAAACGGAGCACGTCAGCCGAATCCACGTCGCCTATTGGGTAAGAGCCTACCTCACCAGCACCGCGATCGTAAACGATAAATAGCCGGCGAATGTTTCCTAAAAGTTTTGTTAAATAATATTCAGATCCACATTTTGTAGCATAATTAGAGATGTGTGGCGAAAATTGCCAAATTTGATAATGCTGAGAGCCAAGCGCCATCTGTCGTGTGGTAAACGAAGCAACTACTGCGCGTGCGCAGTAGGGCAGGGCTAGAGCCACTAAATGAGCTGTGCTTAGAGTATCGGCCAACGTTACTAAAACACTCAGTTGGGAAACTCGCCGTCGAAACGTAGGCCGCTGGCGTCCACCGAGACCGAGCTAAATGCGACAACAGCGCCACTCTTTTTCGTTTGTCCGTACTACGGTCACCTCGAACTTTTTGAAAGCCTGTTTTTGCGTAGAAACAAACGGAAAAGACTTCTTTTGTATGAAATTTATTGGAGTTTAGTACCAGATGATGGGCGCGTGATGTTTTTTATCATCTTTAGTTTGCAAGGTTTTGCGGAACAATTAATATTGTTTTCATACAACCATGCCTCAGCGGGCCTTTCAGGTAGCACGTCCTGACCTAGGTGCATTTTAACGTCGGTAATTGAACGCGACGCGTCCGCCAGGGAGACGGGGGTGGCACCCCTGTAACCTCTACCGCTGTATCTGTTCTTAAAGCCAAAATAAAGGTCACGCGCAGTTCTTCGAGAGGCCGCCGCGGGAGAAATGGTGGCGTTGCGTTCGTCATTAGCTCGGTGCTCGGAGGCAGATTGGTGCCACTTTTTCAAAGCTGGCTCTACGGGAGTTTCCCAACTGAGTGTTTTAGTAACGTTGGTATCGGCACTCCGTTCCCCAACATTGTTGTGGGCGCCGCCATTTTGGCTCGTATGCAGAGCAGACACAACTGCCGATCGTCCTGATTCATAAGGGAGGCTTCCTCAGCATTAGAGTTGGTGTTAGGAAGGTCATCTAAGATTGCTTTGCTCTGTCGCGAACTGTTTAAACATTTGTAGAGGGCGGAGAAGCGTTTCCTGTGATTTCAGATAAAGCTTCAGATAACTGGCAACCATGATTTTAAGACACAACATGGCGAAGTGTCGTTACTCTGAAGCGTAACTTATTCAGTGGCACTAGGCAGGGCCGACAGTTACTTGGGTGGCGGCGACCGACGAACGTTTATTTTCTTTGTTTTCCTTCCTCTCAAAACTCTGACTGACTGAACGTTTATTTTTCTATGTGTTCTTCTCGCGCGTGCCGACTTCAAGCAGCAAGAAAACAGTACTTAAAACAGACCACGACGAACAAGAACGCTGGATCCACCGACTCCGACGAAGCGAGCTGCTCAGAATATAGGCCTAGCAGGCATTCCGACTCGGCGCTGCGTTGCTTCGTCGCAAGACCGTCTGCCTACGACTGGCTGGCGCGCTAAATGGAATATGCCCGCGCGACCCTTGTGGACCCTTCCCGTATTATAGTTTGATCGCTGACCTCAATTTTAGACTAAAAGGTGAGGTCAATCTCTTCCCCTTGTTTTCCGAGGCAGTGTTGACGAACACTCGTCAAAAAGGGACTCTCGTCGATTCTATCTTCTTGTTTTGTGTGATATAGAGCTGAAATAAACGCCGTATGAACTACCTTCGTAACACGGTATGTACACTTTGTTATTGGTATGCCATTTTTATTCTGACAGACTGCACGTCACTGTCGAGCTATAACAGTTCGTGGGAGGTATACGTGCAACCCTGGTCCAACCATTCTTTGCCGAGTGTCGCGTCAGTATCGAGTTGCAATCGTAAAAGAACGGTCCCGAAGCGCTTACCAACAGCGCGAATACAGCACTTCCATCAAGCGCGTGCGGCCGCTCCGAGTGTAAACAGGTATTTACGTGGCTCTTGCTGACACTCGTAGTTCAAACGTATCTTTTTTAACGTCGGCTTGCTCCTCATCTCCAAGGCCGCGAAAAACGCCACGGCAATTTGTTTCCATCTACGTCGATTTGCAAACGACTGACACGGGCCGGCCCTTTTGCCAACATTGACAGTTGGGTTGACTTCTGGAGTCTTCACCGGAAGACTCGCTGCACTTCCCAACAGGCATACCGGCGTATGGGGCTAGTCCCATGCTGTCGCTGTAGCACAATATATCTCATTGAATTTCGCTCAGCTGCGATGCGGCGATGAGAGGCGCCGGTTCAGAAAATATGTCGGTGACATCAGCGCAGTAAAACCTACCGGCGCACCCCAACTCGTTGCCGCTAACGCTCCCATTCTCCTACTGCCGAGAGAACTTCCGGTTCCGGAAACAGTGTACGTCACGGCTTGTTTTGCGGTCAGTTGGAGAGAAAGAAAAAGTCGATATTTCATTAATTTTTTGTGTAGAAGTTAATAAACCGAGACGAAAACGGATGCCTGTTCGGCATTCAGTGAACATTGACGGTTTAATGTAAAAGTTATCTGGAAAAAGTAAAAAGGTCATTTCATGGTCCCTTTAACTAGAGCATAGGCGGGTGTGGCTATCTATTTTTTACCTTTTAATCAGTTTTTTTTTCCATACAAAGTGTCGATTTGAAAAGCATTCCACATAAAGGGGCATTTCTTCTCATCAAAACTCTACTTTTTGGCAATAAGAACTTTATTTACTTATAGAAAATCAATATCTAGCTGCATTCCTCATTAAATTTTAGTTCAAAAACATCCACAGCAAAGGGTACATTCAGCACTTCATTGAAATGATAGTTTTCCTAAAACGAAAGTTCCTGTAAAAAAGTAAAATTGAGAAAAACCAGATTTTACTGGTGGTGGTGGCAATTAAAAGGCACCAAGCGCATAGGTGGTGCCTTCTGCTTGCACCCAAATCTCCTGCATGGCTCTGTTGAGCGAGTCCGAGCTTAAAACGCTTTCTTTGAGTGTCATTTTGTTGTTGGCATGTGGACATTGATTGTAAAACGAGTGAGGAATTTGGTATGCTTACAATACACAAACCAACATCAGCAAGTATGGGCGGGACAAGCATCGTTGTAATACAAAGCAGACAAGCCTACGTGACTTTCCATAAACGAATGCTGGTTTTAGTCAGTTTCTTGTTCAATCAGGGTGGGCTTTTCGATTCCTAACCATATGCATAGCCTCTTCTACATGAAAGCTGGACTTCTATAGTGTTCTTGCTCGAATAGAGTTTACACTTGAACAAAGATATTTAATGTACTGAAACTGTGAAGAAACGCTCTTTCCAACGAGAGTATGACCATCATTCTAGAGCATACCAGTGCAAAGCTACAGCAGTTTGAAAATTGAAAAAACATAGAAGTATCACATTTCAAAAACATTTGATTTTGCATCATCGGCTTACCAAAAATTATTTATTTCTCCGTAAATACTTCAGATATTGCAATAAAAATTTGCAGTTGTGGAACCACAATACATAAAAATACGAAAAACTATTTTTTTCTCAAAAATTGCAATTTTAAAGTGGTTGTCCCCTTTTAAGTATCATTGAAAAGTAACAAGTCTGTCTTTCTTCCGTGTCGTGTAGAGTAATGTCGATAAAGATGCAATCGCGCAAGTTAAATTGCCGAAAAAGAAGCTCAGAACTACTTTTTGTCGTGGACGGCGCTGTTTCTGTGGCGGTAACAAGGCCTCCGTGGCCTGGACTATGGAGTGTCATCAAGTGCCTTGCTCCAACGCCCTCATTGAGTTGCGGGGGCCGCAGCCTCCACAGTTCACCACGTTGTCGTGAAACGGAGTATAGTTGGGTATAAACGGTATCATCATCATCCCA